CGAGGGCCGGGTCGTTTTGAGGCCGGGTGGGGCCGGCCGCAGAGGGGCTCCGGGCACGGGAGGCCTGCCTTCAGCTGCCTCCGCGCGGTCTGGGGCGCAGCTGCCGGGGAGAGCGCGGTCACTTTTACCGGGACGTCCTAGGTTAGTTCTTCGCGCGGCTCAGGACGCTTGCCCAGCCAACCTTCCGAAATTTCTGGCCTCCCCGGGGCCCTCAGATTTCAGCTTTCCGCGAAATCTCTCTTTGCTCTCCCCTCTCCTGTGCTTGTCTGCGTCCGTTGCCCTCTAGTGTTAAGGAGACCTGCTGGTTTGACAGTACCGAAAAGTAAGGTCAACCTATGGGCGCCGGACTTCGGGCTTTTCTCCTTCCGGGCGTCTCTCCTGGGGATACCAGATCCTTCCCCTTTCCTCAGTGACTTCTGCGTTGTTGCCAAGCTGTCCTTCCTCCCATCTCTCTAAACGCTGCCGTGCTCGACTAGTTAGAACCTTGGTCTCGAAACCCTGCTTGTTTGGCTTTAGAGATCGATAGACCTGGAGAATTTTTGTAGTTTAAAGCAGGCTTTGAATATTTTTAAAAAGGGCATTGCTCTGAAATGTTTGCCATAAACCAGGATTTTACATCTCTTTCTTACACCTCCTTCAACTCCACTGATAATTTCCTGGCTGCTCCTGCCTGTGTTTAATTTACCATTTCTGTGACGCTCACCCCATTCCAGGGCTTCAAAGGCTTGCCTAAGTAGGGGCGCTGTGTCTCAGATCAGGTTAGGAGAGGAAGAAAAGGAAGCCTTTGAAAAGGGTTTGCAGGATGCTGTGGTACAGGTTCATTCTGGGTTAGAAAACCTACATTAGAACTGGGTTTTGTGTCGGGTATGCAGACCCTGGGGATGTGCGGTAAAGCTAATACGTGCCTAATGAAAACCTGTTGGTTGAATTGATAACATGCAGCAGAGCCCGGTATGGGGGTGCAGGCCTGTAATCCCAGCTTGAGGGAGGCAGAGGCAGGAGGATCACAATGATTTCGGGCCATCAGCAACATAGTGAGTTCAAGGTCAGCCTCAACTGCATGGTGAGACCCTGTCTCAAAAGAAAAAAGCAACTGATTATAGGCTTCGAAGTCACCCAGCTATGCAAATGAATCTGTGTGCTACAAGTTGAACTCTGGAGAAGTAGAAGGGCTGTTGAAACAGAAGTCTTCGCTCCTGTCTAGTTCATCTCGCTGTTTGAATTCTCCTCTCTGTACGTCTTCAACTTGTCTGATGCTCTTTGAGCGGTGAGTTTAGAGATTCTGGTGGACAGCGTCTTCACACTTGAAAGTAAACTGGGACATGACATCGTTTTGGAGGAATAGTTTCATGTAGTTTTTAACAAATGAAAATTTATCTTTTTAAATAAAATGAACAGATGTATCAGCTTGAAATATTTTTTGTTTGTAAGTTGATATGTAGGCCGAATCAGTAACTCTTACAGATTCCCTCTCTGTTACATATCTATGTGACAGTGTGCTACTACACGCGTGTGAGGGTTTGCCACAGTGGGTGTAAACACCCTGATTCAAGCTGTAATGAGTGGTGACCCACAGGGTACTGTATTCTGTATTTTTATTTTTATTTTTTTTTTGGTGATGATGCTGATAACCTCTTAAAATATGTGGAGATTTACCATGATTATTTTGCAGGGGCATATTCAAGGCAATTTTATTTAAAAATGTTGCTTATAAATTACTTAATACTATCTTCTACTCAATTTTGGTGTATAAGAGTAATGAAAGTAGAAATTCTGATATTGGTGGAAATGTCTTAAATTCTTACATATGTAACCTTTTATCTTTATGTGCCTTAATTTCAAGTTAACCAGAATGCAATACATTTCCATCATGCAAACTTGATTATTAGAAACAGTTGCTGTAACAAGAACGTTTTCATGTAGAGGTTATGAGTGTATGAAAACTTGGGTGTTTTAGGAAGTGGGTTAAAGAACAAGCAACAAAGGAATACTTTTATTCTATTTAAAATGAATAGAACTGGCCAAAGGAAGACAATACCAGTGTTTCTGAATAATAAGAACAATAACAAAAATGATCAGAGTAAAGCAAGAACAGGATGGTCTCCTCACCCTTGATGAGAGTAGACAGTTCCTGTACTTGTGTCCTTTAATGAATCTGCCTTATTAGATCTCAGATTCTCAAGTGACACCTCTTGTAATAAACAGCATGCTGTTGACTGAGACTTTAATACATCACCTGCTTGGTCTGTGTCTATTGGTGGGAATGTGTAGGCATCTTAAATCTAATGGGATCTAACAGGATCACTGCTTTGAAGTCTGAGTGACCATATGCCTATGTATGTAAGGATTTTAATTGGGTTTTGTTTGTAAATTCTTCCCTCTGCTTCTGTTATCAAAGTAAATACGCATGAAGCATCAACTCAGAACGTAAATATATGTACTCATATAGGCTCTGAAAATCTCTTTGATGCTATTAAGGATTCTATCCTCCCCAACCAAGCACATGAACACACACCCACCACTACCACTGCCAAGCGTATGTTTGAAACCACAAACTATATCTTTGCTTTGATAAACCATATATCATTTAACATGTTAGACTTCTGCTTACCATTTCTGTATTAAGATACATTAAGAACTTCTGCCACTCAATAGCTGGCATGTATGTTTCTGAGAATATAGCTTTCTGTTGTTAAATTTCATGCATAAAGAATTCAAGGACATTTATGAAAGTGAATATATGCATTAATTCAGTAATAGTTGCTCGTCCATTTGGAACATTGTGAGTAGTTATCTTTGCAGAAGTGTAAACCAAACGAACTACTCATTTTTGTTTCTCCTTTATTTAGATTGTTTCAATATAAGATTTATAATATATTTATTCAGTCTTATGTTGAGTACCAAGAAGTGATTAGAGGTAAACTAAAATATTTATATGATTTTGGTCAATGTATGCTCTAATTTCCCTAAGCTCATTTTTGGCTGAGGTTTTTAGGTGGATCTTTAGTATATCACGGGATATACTTATTTAAAGTGACATTTTTTCCTTGGAAAGTTATTAGTACAAGTTGCTGAGAAGATGATGGGACTTCAAATTTAAATTGAAAGTTAAAGTAGGGAGAAATGCTTCCTCTTCAAGGGCCTAACTTCACTCAAAATCTATATAACTGTAGTCTTCACAAACTGTCAACCTTGCTGTTAATGTCTGCCCTCCTATAATCGTATATGTTTTACAATGCAACTGAAAAAGTTCTAAAGTATCAGTTTAAAGTAATTCCATGATAATGGTTGATCCTCCCAAGATATCTTTACAGGGAAAAAGAAAGAGCAATGACTATCATAGATATGAAAATATTACGTGATATGTAAGATTATTCAATGTACTGTTTATAGTAGACCCACAGACTTCTTTTGCACTTTTACAGAAATGCTTAAAGTTAAGCTAGGTGGGAGCTGTCCAAGGTACTCATGGTTTAACATGATGGGGAATTGACTAGGACTCTGTTTCATACATTACTCTACACTGAATTGTCACTTTGATCTTATTTAAACTCCTGTAGAGTATTACAGGTACAGTTGGATTAAATTGTGAGTTGGCACATGGGTGAACATAATACATGTGTTGAGTAGCCACTGTAGAAAGAATTTGAAGCACAGCCTTCAAAACTCATCCAAATTACACCACAGAGATAGGTATGTCAGCTTAGCTTTTGCCTTATGTTAACTGCAATGATTTTATAAGCAGAGCATCTCTTTTTTGTTAATAAAATGAATTTTGACATATGAGGAGGATTATGTAGCTTCTTGTAGATCAGAAGCATAATAACTGACTTAATTTCCTCTTGAGGTTTTTATTACATAATTAGCTTCAGATAGAGGATGGGATTTATATGACTATCAAGACCTTAGTGCAATACTACCATTAGGTTTTAAGGTAGAAAAATAGATGTACGGGTACCCTTTCCAACTTATTTAAGAGAGTTAAAACAGCAAATTGCATTATGAATTGATTGGCTAAAATCATTGCATGCTTACTTTGTACTTATACTGTAGCAGGTAAATACCTGAGAAGTCTTACCACATTTTGTCCTTATAACACCCATATTAGGAATAAATAATTTCCCATGGCATGCATGACTACTCGGTCACAGCTGTGTAGCTAATATGTGTTAGGGTCACATTAACACGTATTAGCACTCCTCAGTGTCTCTGAAGCCAGTGTACTAAAAGTCCTCAGTCAAACATTTTCACTAATAATAAAAAGCAGTGCCGACTTTCATGTGAATGTTTTTTTACACAATGAAAATAATTTTGAAAGTTACTTATAATTTTATAAGAATAGACATTTTAATACTAAAGTGTTAAAAGAGATCTGAATCTCAAAATAAATAAATTTAGCTTACTATTTTTCTGCATTGTACTTATTTTTCTAACTTAATGACTTCGGTTGACTGATGAGAATTTGATGACAGAAAATTTCATTCTGCAGACTGTTCTTAGGAATCCTTGGTCTGAACCGTAGTAGTCCATCTACTCTGCTGTCACACACCATTCTGTTTCTAGTTGAGAATCTTGGTAACAACACTTAGGCTCAGAAAGATGCCAGTAATTGCTTTACTCTTCGTTTACTACATCAGTGTCTGCAGAAAGAATTGTAGGAGTGGGGGTGATTTGTTCCTGTGTGCTGGTCAAGTACAATCATCGTCACTAAGACGGAGCTGGTCTGTATCCTGGGAAAGGAATGGATGCTGGATAAAACCCAGGGAGCGTGGTACAGGAATGTGTCCCTCCCTCTGTCCCCGTCGTCAGCACATCCCAACTTTTGGGATTAATTCCCTCATTTTTTAGCTCTTCGTAGAGAAAAGATATTTATGACTGAGCTCAATAACAAATAGCTTGTTTTTCTGTAATTCTCCTGATAATTCTTTGAATTATATTAGAAAATGTTCACATTTATGAAAGGATTGAGGAAGTCCTTAATTTCTGGATTCCTTTTGTCAAGTATATTTTTGTGGTAAGCTTTTTATATGATACAGTGCCTGTAATAGTTTGTAATCACTGGTGATATATAAAGAATTGGCGTGTTAAACGTGATGAGGTGTATTTTTTCCTTTTGGTTTTTGGGAGACTTTCTGTTATTT